GAGCCAGTGAGAGAAATGGAGGACTGGCAGGAAAGGTAGAAGGAAAACCAGAAGAAAGTAGAGCTCAAGGAAGGCAAGAATTTCCAGAAATGGCAGGAGCAGTGTTACATTGCACAAAAAGTAGAGTAAGTTGTAGGGCACTCATTGGTGCATTGGCGAAAGCCAGCAGTCGGGGCCAGGTTGCGGAAGGCATGGGGGGAGGGGAGATGGATGGAAATCATGGCCCTATGCTTTGCAATAGTGTGTGGGGATGACCACCTTCCTCACTGAGTAAGTCTCTGGACAACTGAACCCAAAGGAATTCAATATGATAGATGGAAGGGATGCCTTTCATTGGGACTTCTACTCCAATTCTCTTCAGTCTACCCTGCTTTCATTGAAGAAACTATTTGTTTCTGCACTTATTCAGGGCTGCTAACGGTAGCGTAAGGGAAAGACTTAATGGTATCTTTGCCTTCTTGTTTCGTGAGATACTATTCCGCTTCCACGTTTAATTTGTTTGGAGAATATAATGAAAAACTTGACTTCCTGGTTTGTTTGGTTTTTTTTGTCCATGGAAGTTCATATCTTCTCAATCTTTTAAGGAATAAGTTCTCAGCTTTTTGAGACAAAATGATCCCTCTCATATTGAAAGTTTTTTATTATCGAGTTCAGTGTCATCAGGGAGAGTCAGGGGATGAATTATAAGCATTTACCACAATGTGATTTCTACCAGACAAAGATAAAATGCGGAATAAAGAAGATGAACTGAGTACTGAAACTGTTTCCTCTCGACTTAAGAAACAGCAAAAATGATGCTTCCTCTGTCACTATGGAGGTTTTGTTTTGCTTTGTTTTATTTTGGTCCAACTCTAATGTATTACATTCTTTGGAGTTATAGAAAAGTTTCTACCCTGCCTGTGGTACCAGAAACATGTGTGTATAACGAACGGGCAGAAAGGTATCAACATCTCTAGTTGATTCATGTAGTACCAACAGCCAAGGTAGTTAAGTTCCCCATAGGAGCAACTGGCTTATTCCATGGTCACAGATGGTCCCATATTGCTGTATATTGTTATGACAAGAGGAATCTGGTTATTGAGGGGGAAGTGGAGATCAGTGCAAACCCAATGGCACTGCTGGAGAAACAATGGCTAGGTTGGTACAACTGGAATCCAAGAGAGAGAGAGATTGTGGGACAAGGCCCTTGGGTTAGTTGACAGAGGCTGACTCTGGATGATCTAAGCAGAAAATGCATGTATGTACAGCATGGTGGGTGGCCCACAGGTATTGTGGGAGGGCTGGAGAACCAGCTCTAAGGTGGTGCAGCCCAGGTCAAGGCCCAAAGTCATGCTACAGGCTGGTCTGGTGACCACCCTGCTGTAGACCCCAAGGATGCTGCACTTTGCTGTAAAGCTGCTGGATTCAGTACCAGCTACAGGGGGACCTAGATTATGACCCTCCCCTCCACTGTAAGAAAGACTAGGGAGGTTGTCTCTGGCATTCCCAGGTTTGTTTGTTTTTTTTTAATGTTTATTTATTTTTGAGAGGGGGGAGGGGCAGAGAGAGATGGAGACAGGAATCAAAGCAGGCTCTGTGCTGACAGCAGCGAGCCTGATGTGAGGCTTGAACCCATAAACTGTGAGATCACGACCTGAGCCAAAGTCAAACACTTAACCACTGAGCCATCCAGGTGACCCTGGCATTTCCAGTGGGGAGGTGGCTCTGCCTCCTGAGGTTGGGGATTCCTCAGGCACAGGAAGGAGGTCTCATCCTGGGCACTAGAAAGACAATGCCATTCTTGCACTTGAGACGATGTCTTCAGTTGCATTATGGGCCAAGGCCCATGCCCAGGATGGAGTAGGTGCCAACAAAACTTTTGGTTATGAACACTCTGCCGACATCCATTCAGGAGTGAGTCACACCTCACAGATTATTATTAGCCTAGCAAGTGGAGCAACTTGAAGATACATATAGTCTTCGCTTTTTAAAGCCATGGCTCCTTTGTTGAACCCATTATAATAATGTGGCCTTATTATATTCACATTTTTTGGTGGGATCTATGTCAAAGCCATGAACAAAACTCACCATCCACTCAATGAAAATCTCCTTCTGACCCCCATGAGTAGGTAAAAATTTGCAGGGTACAAAAAATAAGGGAATAAAAGTGTTTAAAGCGTCTGGTCTCTGTTAAGTTAGAGAAAAGATATCCTCAGCATTTCAAGATGAATATCTCAAAACTGTACTCAGGGTAACAAATGATATAATCTACGGTGTTATTTGACAAGATTGTTCTTCCTCATCACTGTGCCCCGAAAGGGAAAGCATAGAACTGATTGACTGGCAAGCCATCCATTTTCTGTGAAATAAGGAAAGCACTGGGGGCTGAAATGGTAAAGTTATCAAATATCTTACATCCAAACAGCTACCTTAAAATGACTTCCACACAGGCAACGTTTTCTTCCTGACAGTAATGTTTGCCATTTTAACGTACAATATGGTGCCTTGCAGACACTAGAAACTCAATGAATTTCTTACTGGTGATAACTGCTAGAGATAACATAAATTGCCTCTTATTTTGGTAACAAAAAACGTGGTTTTTTTTGGATTCTAAGGAGGAATTTTCATGTGGTATACTAGAAGTACACGTGAAGCATTCGACCTACTATGTAAGTATTACTGATAAATTTTAAAAAGATAATTATTTTCGATGAGCATTTGTCACAAAGAAAGAAGAGTTCCTATATACCACTCACCCAGTTTCCTGTAATGTTGATATCACAAATAACCATGACATGTATCAAAACTAAGAAACTGACATTGATACAAGCTGTCAACTAAACTACACCCTTCTTTAGATTTCTCTACCATTACTTGTCAATGAGAAGCTTCAGTACATTGAACTACAGGCTCCAACACAGCCATCGAACTACATTAATTCAGATGGACTGGGATTAGATACAGAAATGGCTTAGGAAGACTATACAAGCTACCCTTTTATGTGCCAAACATAAATATACTTTAAATTTGGCCCCAAATATTTTGCATGCACACTCTGATTTCATCCTTCTTAGAAACCAAGAGGGTGGATACGGTCATATCCACTTTACAGCTAAGACTGAGGGACTTAGGATTCCAAGCAATGTTTGCAAGACGGCTTAGCGGGGAAGCGGTCCAGCCGGGATGTGAACTAAAGCCTCTCAGATTCCAAAGCCCATGGCGCTGACATCATCACTACAGTGCAGACAGAGGGCATCTATCACAAGCGTGATACAGAGACTGCCTCTTGAGCTGTAGTCTTGCCCAGGACCCGCCTTCCCAAGGTCATTTGGATCCATTGTGGCAGGTGATCCTGATGTGCGAGGTTGTCCTGCAGTGACAACATGTGACTCTAAGTGAACGGGGGTTTTCTGTGATGTACGGAATTGTTTCAACTCTCAACGCCCCAGCCCTGCGTGCTCACACAGGAAGTTCTCCCTGGCATTCTGGGGCTTCCCTGCTGATGGACTGCCCCCTGGCCAGGGAAGCCGTGAGGAGCACTGTGCAAACATGCCCACGTGCCTTTTGCTTTTCTTTTCTGTGTTTCAAGGCTCAGTTAATGTGTGGAAAGTGATCTGAAATGCGGAAATAAAAAGAGCTGGGGAGCTGCGGAGTGACAGTCATTACCTGAGCTCAGACAGCTCAAAACGGGAGGCCCAGGGAGACAAAGGGGGTCTGGGGAGACCCTGAGAGGCCTTCAGCTCAGCAGCAAGCTGGTTGGCGTGGAGTCAGATTGGGCTGTTTCTGGCGGCGCTCTGCCCCAGTGCTCTCTCAAGGCCTCCACTGTGGCTCTGCTCAGGGGTCCGGCCCCAGCGTGAAGAATTCCTGCAGGATGGAGCCAGAGCTGGGGAAATGGGTCCAAGGACACACTCTGCAGTCGGTTCTGTAACCGGCCCTACAGAGAAGGGGATGAGATGCCATCCACCCTCCACGGTTGCCAACACAAATTGCTGGATGTGGTCAATGAAGGAGTGAACGTGATCAGTATCAAAGACGCGAATGACGCCAAGCAGGCTTCGCTCGTTCCTTTCGACAAGCATGGATTCGCAGTAGTGATTTAGTACCGTTACCTGTGGGAGGCAAGAAATCCCTTAGGAAGCGATGGGTCAAAATAATGAAGTCCGAGTCACGTGCTATTTCACCATCTCCCAAGTGTGTGTTAGTGAAAAAATGAGGCTACTGGTCTCAATAGAGAAAGGTAAGTCTTGTGACTTTGCTGGGTGAAGGCAGGTGGCATTTTATTGCAATACAGAGCATGCAAAGAAGCAAGTGAAAAATCTCTTTCAATATGACCTCATACCACCTGTATCTAAGAAGTTAGAGAGCATTACATGGCTCTTTACAATAGAGCAGGGATTTTTTTTTTTAATGTTTTATTTATTTCTAGGAGAGAGAGAGAGAGACAGCGTGAGCAGGGGAGGGTCAGAGAGAGAGGGAGTCATAGACTGAAACAGGCTCCAGGCTCCAAGCTGGCAGTCAGCACAGAGCCCGACGCGGGGCTCGAACCCACGAACCGCGAGATCATGACCTAAGTGAAAGTCGGACGCTTAACCGACTAAGCCACGCAGGCGCCCCAATAGAGCAGGGATTTCTATGCACCTCTGTGTAGATGTGAACCGCGGCTGTATATACACAGCCTATCCTAAACTGTTCGTGGTGGTTGATTTCATCATGTTTTTATGTCCTACTTAGGCTAATAGTTGGGTCATTACCCATGTCTTGAGCCCACAAACTTGAGGATGTGGCTGCTGGCAACACCCTACAGCCTGGTAACCAGAGTCAGCAGAAGGAGGGCTGCTTGCCTTGACTTCAGTTAGAGAATTCCAGAATGTTCTAATAGTTCTGGCATGCGGACAGAGATCCACTCCAGGGCCAATCCCGTGGTCAGTGAGGGAGGGTCACACTCTAAGTTGCCTTCTCCCATTCGACACCAGGACCATCATGTGACATGGAACATCCCCATCCCCACGCCTCCACCCCCGCCTCCCAGAGGAGAGCCCCCTAGTCATCCCTACTTCTGTCTACACCAGCTGAGCAGTGAGAGGTCAGAAGATGCTGTTGTCCCAACCTGCCGCAGAGGACTTCTCAATGGCCAGGATCCACCACAGTCATTAAGATTGCTCTCTTCTGGGCCTTGCATTTGTGACCGATTCCCCCTGGAGTTGTGTCTATGTAATTATACTCTGACGTATGTAACATTACATGTTGCCCATGGGTCACTGAGGTGTCGTTTGAAGCCACCAACAGTGGTTTCTTCCAGGTGAGCATTGATTCTAGCCTGAACTAGTTTAATAATAACCTAGTTCTTTTCTAGATCATTCTCCCTACAGGTTCTAGAATGATCCTTGTAAAATAGAGTCCCTTTCAATACTGTAATGGTGCATTTTATGTGTCAAGTTGACTGGGCCACGGGGTGGCCAGGTATTTGGTCGGTTACCAGTCATGTCTGTGATGGTGTTTTGGATGAGATTAACATTTGAGTCAGTAGATTGAATAAAGTGGATTGCTTTCCCTGAGGCGGGTGGGCCTCATCTAATCAGTTGATGGCCCGAATGGGACAAAGCAGCTGAGTAAGAGGAAACTAACTCCTCCTGCCTAACTGCCCTGAGCTGGGACCTCAGTTCTTTTCTGCCTTTGGACTGTAACTGAAACATCATCTCTTCCTAGATCTTGAGCCTGTCAGCATTCAGACTGGACCCATATCATTGGTTCTTCCGGGTCTCCAACTTGCTGACTACAGGTCGTGGCACTTGTCAGCCTCCATAATCTGGTGAGCTGACACTTTATAAAAATGTCTTTCTCACTCTATTTTTTTTAATTAAAAAAATTTTTTTAACGTTTATTTATTTTTGAGAGAGAGAAACAGACAGAGTGTGAGCAAGGGACGGCAGAGAGAGTGGGAGACTCAGAATCCAAAACAGTCTCTAGGCTCTGAGCTGTCAGCACAGAGTCCGACATGAGGCTCGAACTCACGAACTGTGAGATCATGACCTGAGTGGAAGTCAGATTCTTAACCGACTGAGCCACCTAGGGGCTCCATCACTCTATTTTTTTTAAAATTAATTTATTTATTTTGAAAGAGAGAGAGAGAAAGCCTGAGTCGGGGAGGGACAGAGAGAGAGGGGGAGGGAGAGAGAGAATCCCAAGCAGACTCCACGCTGTCAGTGCAGAGCCTGATAAGGGGCTCGAACCCACGAACCATGAGATCATGACTGACGCCGAAATCAAGAGTTGGACACTTACCCGACTGAGCCATCCAGGTGCCCCTTTCTCTCTCTATTTACACCCTACTAGCTCTGTTTCTCTGGAGAACCCTGTCTGATACAGATACCTTCTTTTTTTTTTTAATGTTTATTTCTGAGAGAGAGAGACAGCGTGAGAAGGGGAGGGTCAGAGAGACAGGGAGACACAGACTCTGAAGCAGGCTCCAGGCTGTGAGCTAGCTGTCAGCACAGAGCCTGATGCGGGGCTCAAACCCACGAACCATGAGATCATGACCTGAGCCCAAGTTGGACGCTTAACCGACTGAGCCACCCAGTCTCCTTCTTATTTACTAACTTCATTGATTCATTCATTTAAAAAAATTATTGAGCATCTATGTTTCATGTCCTTGGAAACGATCACTGAACAGATGAAGATTCCTGGCCTGTGCAAACTTTATTCATGTGTGCAGGGGAGAGGTGGGTGGGGGGGATGGTGATACAGGGAGACAGACAATGAGTAATAGGAATAAGTGGGCTGGCCATATGTTAGAAGGTGCTAAGTGCGAGGGGCAAAGGAAAAGGTAGAGCGAGATGTGGAGGACCAAGAGGTGTTGGGAAGGGGACATTTGCCCAAAGGCTTCAGGGAAATAAAGCACTTGCCATGTGGAAACTCTGGTAAAGCTCCCATGGGGTGGACACCAGTCCCCACTGCCTCTCCGCTGGGGTCTGCAGACACTTCCTCGTTTGAAGCCTTTGTTTTAGCCGCGCTGCTCCGGTGCTGCACTCCGCCCTGCTCTGCCCTTTGCCCTGGTCTAGGATGTCCCCTCTGCGAAGGCTTTCTTCTCCCTATTCCTGGTCACACCTTAACCCCTCCTCGTCCTGGAAGACTCAGGTTCACGGCTTCGACCAAGGATGCCCACCGTGGTGATTTCTTGACCCTCGTTTGGGTCCCACAGACTTGGGTTTGAGCTGTAATTCTGCCCCCGTAGATCTGTGCCACATGGGGCAAGTTTGTTCATCTCTAAAACAGGGAGAGGGGCGGTCTGGGTGGCTCAGTCAGTTAAGCGTCTGACTTTGGCGCCTGTCATGATCTCAGGGTTCGTGAGTTCAAGCCCTGCATTGGCCTCCAAGCTGACGGTGAGAAGCTTGCTTGGGATCCTCTGCCTACCCCTCCCCCACTCACGCTTTTTCTCTCTCTCAAAAAATAAATAAACTCAAAAAAATAAAATAAAATTTAAAAGTCCTTCTGTGGTAGACATTGAAATGGCTTATTTTCCCTAAGCCAGAAACTCCATTGTCTCCCTTCCCAAGCCAGGGCCATAGGCCTGATCCAGCAGGTCTTGGTGCTTTCCTGCAGGAGGCTAAAGCCCAGATGCCCCAGAAGGATTTTTTAAAAGACATTATTTTTTAAAATAACTCATCTGTTGTAAAGTTACAGACAAATCGAGAAGATAATACAGAGTTTCCACATGTCTTATACCCAGTTTCGTCTATCACTAATGTCTTACATGTTAATGTTTGGTACATTTGTTACAATTAAGGCACCAACATTGATAAATTATTGCTAGCTGAGGTCCATACTTTATGCAGATTTCCTTAGTTTTTACTTGTTGTCCTTTATCCAACCCAGGGTCCATCTGGCATGCCACAACACATTTCACTGTCATGTCTCCTTAAGGTCCTCTTTGCCGTAGCAGTTTCTCAGCATGTCCCGGTTATGATGACCTTGATGGTTTTGAGGAGTACTGCTTCGGTGTTTTGTGAGATGCTTTTCCATAGAGTTTGCTGATATGCATGGGAGGAATTTAATGCAGGGGATTGCTCACACAGGTGGTGGAGGATCTGAGATGAACAGGGTAAGATGAAGTTACCCAAAGACTAATCCCAGCAGAAGGCCATTAACATTTCTAAGCTGGGATGTTAACAGAAGGTGGCAGTGATAAAGAAGGCAAGGGTTGGGGTCACTTGACAGAAACTTCAGCCGGCTGCCACCACTGCTACAGATCACATCGGAGGCAAGAAGGAGGCAAAGAAATTCTCTACCTTCTTTCTTCCCATCCTCCACCCTTTCTTCCATACCTCTCATCGACCAGAAGTAGCCATGACCCAACTGATCAGGGGGTCTGTGAGCTCAGGCTACAAATCTACTGGCAATACAGGGAGGAAGGCACCACTGAGAATGACTTGGAAGACAAAGTGGCCCATGACTGGGACAGGTGGCATTTGGACAGACAGCACTTGTGATGTAGTTTTGCTGCATGCACACCACAGTTCTGCCATTGTTTGCCTGTCCATGGGCTCCATATGATAAGGAAGCTTTGAGGGCATTGTTTATTTTTTGTCTCTGTGTCCGCACACATGGAGCCTAGAACGATACCTTGATCATATTAGCTTTTCAACATTTGAGGTATACACAACTGAATGAATGAATGAATGAATGGCAGTTTCTTTTGACCAACACATCTCTGGCATGCTCTAACTTTGAGGAATTACTCACTATCAGCATTGCTTTTCAGCTTCTGGTTACCTTGTATTCGTGCTAAGATTACTCTGAGCCTAGCATCTGCAACATTTGAAGGCCCCGTGGATGGTGTGACTGTAAAGTAATTAGACCCGTTTTCGACAAAGGGATCAAATTAATTCGTCAAGTGAGTAAGTGAGTTTTACATTAATCCTTCTAAGTTGTTTCTCAAGAAGGTCCTCCACATCTTCCAGTGATGCTGCCATGCCCAGCCTCTTTCGTATAAGCTGCCCAAGAAAACGAATGAATACTTTTTATGAATAAAATGTCTCTGTCTTTCCAGCTAAATGTCACCCAGCCCTCACCTGCTGGCATTAAGTGGGTGGGACACATCATTAGAGAAGTTACATTTCCTTGCCGCACAGGGGAGGAGGCAGTGACCCGTCACAAACAGGACTGTGATGTGGCTTTCCCATAGTTGCAGGAGGCCTGAGAAGTCACACCTAGTTGTCACCAGGTCTGAGCAGGGACACCCTCCATCTCACTAATAGGACACGTGGTATCTGAAACACCTGAGGTCCCAGGATTTTTCGAGGACGTTAGAGCCGGGACTGCAAGTAGAAAACTGAGTTTCGTGTAGGAGAAACTCGCTCTTCCATGTGCTAAGCAGATCTCAGTCTTCAGTAAGAAGCAAAGGAGCCTAAGTAACAGGAACATTTCTCAGCCCCCAAATTGCCAGGGTTCCGTCTGCCAGAGCGCCCTGGACAGCCACAGGACAGAAATCCGACCAGCCAGCTTCCTCTGTGAGCAGAGACTAAAATATTTTCAACTATCCTCTGGTCTCCATTCTGGTTAATTGCTCCTCTAACACAGGTAAGAAATGATGGCTACGGAAACTACCCGCCTTTTTGTTTTGGATGCCTCATTTTCCACAGTGCTTAATGTGGGGAGGGCAGGGGCCCCATTTGAGAAAGAAATATTGGGGACTGAGTCTGAGACACCAGTGCCTCTGCACACCAGCTGTGTGATTTTGGGACAAGTCACTTCACCCTTTGGGACTTCCAGTCTCTCATTTGAAAATTGGGGATTATAATGTCTGTTTTATCGCAGAGTTGTAAAGATCACAGGAGATGTACGCGCGAGTACTTTGAAGATCGACAAGTGTAACGTGTGACAACTAGTTTTTTTATTTTGGCGTGGACATAAGGCAGCAGAAAAGGTGTCTTTGATGTTTAATTAATATTAAAAATCTTTTATTACATTTATTTAGCTGTAATCGGGAAGGAGGTGGGCACCAGTAATTTTCAAAGGGACTTTCTCTGCTCCAAAAATAGAACTCAGAAATCACATATTTGATTTTCCTTTTGGTGTCAAACCACAGCACCATTGTTATTAGCAGTTTTACAGAATTGTGACCTTCAAACTTGGTGATATCAAAGACTGAAAGCAAGCTCCCCGGTCCTGAAGGCTTTCAAACAGGCCCTTCAAACTAAAGCACTTTTATTTTGAATTAAGGGCTAATAGAATTTTCACCATAAATGAGCACTTGCAAGCTTAAACGTTGCCTTCCAGGTGGGCTGCGGTAAGTGAATGTGCTGAGAGGTGGCTGAAAGCCCTTTTGGGGACAATGAGGAGAATCTGTTATAGGGGTTCATGCAACACCCCTTCGGCAGTTAAAAGAGAAATCTAGAACTTACATTTTCCTAATTGTTCCTAAGCTGATTTGTGTATACATCTAGGGCCATCATTTACTTTCAGTTTACTGAATTTGTGAATTTTCGCATTTGTTTTAATTTGTAATTAAGTTTTCTCTAGGAGGCTCACCATATGCCACCATTAATTCCTTCCCATTGATTTCATGGGAGATACATGAGTGCATATTTTGATGCAATTTTTGAGGTCTTTTGAAAATCAAACGACTACGTGTTTAGCCATATGGGCCTTTGTTATTTAAAAGAGCGTATGATAAAGTAAGAAAGCAAAATGCAAAAAGGACCTGTTAGAAAACAACTAATAGGAAAACTGTTTTAAAGATGGTTTTAAACACACCAATTTTCAATCTTTTTTTTTTTTTTTTGCGCGTTATATTTTTGAAATCCGTCTTTACTGATTCCCGCACTGGGTCTCCCGTCTGTGCAGTCAGCGTATCACAAGTGCACCGGGCAAACCTACGGACACCGGTGACTGCCCTGCGCTCCACACCGGGGCTGCAGCTCTTAACATCCGCCTTCAGCGAGTTCAGTTGCAGCCAACGTGTTTCTTGTAACATCCTCTGCTAGGATGTGACACCGAGCGCCGGTTCACCCGCACGCACGGCGTCCGGTTTGGAAAGGGGCCGCCGGGTTTCTCTGTTTCGCCGGGGACTCCCCGCGCTCGCGAGCTGCCCGCCGTACGCGCCGGCTGCAGACCGGGCCGCGGGCGGGCGGGCGCGCGGCGCGCACTAGGACCCAGCGGGGCTCCGGGCCCCGGGTGGGAGCCGCGCCGCCGACCCCGGGCGGGCGCCGGGGCTGGAGCCGGGGTTCCGGCCGCGAAAGGCTGCAGCTCGGCCGGGAGACGGCGCGACCCGGCGGCGGGGCCACCGGCGAGTCCAGCGCCGCCGCAGCCCCCCAATGCGGCCGCGAGAAGCAGCGGGGGGGCCGGCGATCGAAGGTAACGAAAACGGGGCTCATTTCCTGCCTCCCGAGCCTCTGCTCTGGCTCAGCATTGTCACGAGAAGCCCTCGCTGCTCAGGCTGCTGCATTTTGGGGGCACCCTTTGATTTTTTAAGGTGTCCGCCCCCATATTTCCACCTGGTTTCAGAGTGATTTACGGCGTGCAGCCCAGATGGGAAAGATCTAGGGATAGCAAGTTGAATATTTTCATTAGTTTTTGGCTCAAAAGTAAGTTCATTAAAAAAAAAAAAGTTTCTCAGGCATTTGTGAATAGTCGTTTAAAAAAATTTTTTTTTAAAAAAATAGCAGGCAAATGAATCATTTAAAAAAAGCGACCAGATAATCGATGTAATTCTGTTAATTACTTCCCAGGGCTTTACTTTTGTGGGTTCCCCAGGCGTTACTTTTATTTTCAAGGAGCTAACGTGTTAAATGTGGAGTTTGGCTCGGGCAGAGTTTACAGCATTGCTGTCGTAACTGTTTTGCTATCAATTATAAGCAGTGTCAGCTCTGTGGGCAGTTTAAAGCTCTTTTCACACACTGAACTGGTTATCCTAATATGACATATACAGATGAGAGTTCCCTTTGAGGGCAGCCAGAAGATTTCTCTTTTTGGAGAAACGTTGTTTGGAGGAGAAAACCAGGATTACTGGCTGGGAGGCTTGAAGAGACTATTTTTCATGCTTTGTTTATACTCCTGGGATGACATTTGGGGAAGGGAAATGCAGTCTTTCTCGGCAGCCTTTAATTGTGGGATTATTAATTTTATTTACTTTATTAGTTTCAATTGGCTGGGCTCGGGGAGCCCTCTGTCACAGGATGTGCTTAAGGTGACACGTTCGCTAGCAGTTGGGACACGATTGCAAATGTAAAATGTGCCTCCTGTGGGCTGGTCTGCCCGAGAGCTTCGGTGTGGAGCCGGTCGTAGGCAGGGCGAGACTGGCTCTTTTCATTGAGGAAAAAGGGAATCATTTTCCTTAGCTAAGGAAGACATCCTATACTATTCCTTTTTGTTCCCTGTTTTTCATTGATCGCCAGCTCTGCCTTAGAGAGGGGAGTGCAGCCCTGGAGTGCCGAGCGGAAGACTACACAAATGACTCCAAACCACTTCAACTCTCACACTGATTGGTCAGCTGCATTGAGACTTAGGAAAACAGCCACCCCAACCCTTCTTGTTAAAATCTTGCTGTAATTTCAGATGAGCCTTCTCCGTGCACAGATTCCTGCAAGATTGCGTTTTTAATTTCGTGTGCAATTTGCTTGCGATCACCTTTATGTGTAATTTTTCGTTGTTGTTTCTGTCCAGATAAAGTAGGCCATTTTGGTGACAAATTTCTTTGCAGACGTCAGCTACTAGCTTACACGTATAGACATATCGCTTTACAGTACATTTCCCATGATTTCTCCTCGGGAGCTGTAGAATGCAAAGTTGTTCAACTCACAAGAATTTTTCCTAAGTGGTTTTTTTTTTTTTGACCCAAATATTTAAATTTCACCAGGCGCAGATGGATGCTTAACTGTAATTTACTTTGATCTTTGAAGTGTCCTGGGCAATAACATGTATCACGCACTAAATTTAAGTCTGCAACCGTGAAAGAAAAACCAGTGAAGAGAAGAAGCAAAATCAGCTTTGCACACTGTTATAAGAAATTGTGGCATCTGGCTTGAGGAGAATGCATTTCCCATCCAAGAAGAGGCATTCCTCACCTTATAAGAATAGGAATTAGTAAACATTTTGGAATTGTATTTCTATGGGACAAAAAAATAGATCAGGCCCATGGATGTCTTCATTTGAGCCTTAAAACACTTCAGTTAAAAGAAACACTGTCTCAGAAGTTGTTAAACGTATAAACACTTTTCTGATTGGCTTAAAAATTTAGATACAGGAAGTGGATGGTATCTAATAAGCGATGAGTGGAGACATGGTTGTCATGGAAACTGAGAATAGTACCCCCCCAACACACACATTCACTATCATAACCACCACTTAAAAAAAAAAAAAAACTTGCATGTCATCACAGATGCCTGGAGAACGTGTTGGCTTCTGTAAGCTTTCCCACAGCATCTGCTGAAACCTGAGACCATGCCTGTCAAATCAAGGTCATTTTACAACAACAACCAAAAATGCAGTCTCCTGGATTTCAGAACTGTATTTTTATTAAAAATATGTGAGAAAAAAAAAAAACACCTTAAGGCAAGGATGAACACACGTGCTTACTTAGCAGTTTGCCCCCTTGGAGTTGTGCAAGGCAAGGCTAAGAAGAATGTATTTGAGCGCTTAATTGTGGAATCAAACTGATTTGCAGGTCTACTGTTAGAACGAAGCTCTTTTTAGAGCTGTAAAGACTCGAATGTTACCTGATGCAGAGGCACTTGGGGAAGGTATAATGAAGAGTGTCTGTTTGCAAGAGGGTTCCACGTCGAACTGTAGCAATTAAGTTCAAAGAACTGGCACTTTGGAACCCTACTCGAAGGCTGCCTGAGGAGGGATAAATAAAGACTGTGTCTGGTGCTTTGGGAAGTACAGGGGAGGGTGTTCTCAATAGCTGAGCAGGGAGAGGAAAACTCCTAAATAGAAATAAACTCTTTCAAAACTGCAATTAGCATTTGATGAACTCCCAAAAGTTTCCTCTTCTTTTGTAGATGAGCAGACTGTTTTAGTTTGTAGGGTAATTGAGAGGTTCTCAAAAGCAAAGTTGCAAATGTTTTCAGTGTCTTGGTAATGGTTTCAATGAGGAGGGTCGAGAAGGGAGCAAAGTTTGGGGACCCTCCCCCTTTTCACTTTGCAGAGGGAAAAATAACCAAGGAGGCCCTCTCCTCAATTTTGTCTTTGGCGGTCAACGTGGAAACTTGTAAATATAATGCCAGTGTGTTTCTTACATTTCTCTCATCTAGTCTTTAAATTCTAAATTCTTGATATGCATTTGGAAATACCTTCTGTCCAATCATGATTTACAGCATTGTCTTCTTTTATCTTAATTGAAAATGATCAGTTTTAAATCTTAATTACCACTTTGATCTTTTTAAAAAGCAGCACATTTTCCTTGTCTTTATCACCTAATTGCATGGGGGGGGGGGGACAAAATCCTGGCTATATTTTAATGTGTATATAATGTCCTGCATCTCTGTCATAGGATATGGATTAGAAGCAATAGAGCCATGTAGCGATCACCTGTTGGAGTGAATTGCCATATATTTCATGATCCCATGCTGTCAGACACT